GCAGAACAGAGAAGGCTGAAGTCTTACTCAGGAAGCTCATCATGGGGTCCTGTCCAAAATGGTTTGGGCAGCAGCACAGCCTCTGTCAGAAGTGAGTTCCCTGCCGGGCCACCTGAGGGCCTGAGGGGCACTAGTAGGCCAGCAGGGGCCTAGGGCAAGAACAAAGGGGCTGTTCTCTCCAGGACTTCTTGGCTGATGCACAGACCCCTACCCTCTGCCCCCGTTTTATTTTTCCTCCAAAGCCCTTACAGTCAACGGACATACATGGTATTTAGTTGCTTGTTTATTTTCTCTCTCTGCCCCCACCTACACTAGAATTTAAAACTCCATAAAGGCAGAAATTTTGGTATGTTTTGTTCCCTGCCACATCCCAGCCAGTGCAAGAGTTGGTACTCTCTCACTAGTGTGGTTACAGCTTGTCTGTAGAACTCACCTACAAAGCCCACTTTGACCTCCTCTGGTGCTGTTTCCTGTTCTAGAAAATGATAAAGCTGAGTTCAGGGACCACCAAGGGCCCTTCCACTGAGACATTCCCTGGTTCTGGGTTCTTCCTACTGAAAGATTCCCCTGTAGTTTGTACTCCCTCCATGTGGGGGCAGCAAGGAGCAGGGAGTCCCAGAGGGCTGAAGGTAGCCTGGGTAAGAACTCACACTTCTGTGGGGACCCTGCCAACATCTTCACTCCCCCCCCACCCCTGCTCCCCCAACTCTTCCTCCTTGTCCCAAAAAGGAGTCAGACCTTTGCTTTCTTTGAGTCCAAAGCCAGTTCCAAGGATGAAGTCACAAGTTTGAAACTTAAACAAATAATGGTAATTAGGGATAAAAACAGACCAGAGGTGCTCTAAGGCAATCATGCAGGCCTGAGACATGCTAGCTAATTACAATAACTAAGCACTGACTTTGGCTCCAAATTTATAGACATCCGAGCAGGCCCAGGATTAGAGTGAGGTGAGGGAGGCACTCATCTCAAATGTTAAATGTAAGGTGGGGAGCAGCCGAAATCCTCAGTCATTGAGGTAAATAATATTTTAGTGTAATATTTCTAAGCATCCAAATTAACAAAAAAAGAAAACCCACAATGACCAAAATGTCAAAAATTTAAACATAATTACAAAAAACTTGTATACAGGGACACACATTTTTCTTTGTGTTTTGGTTTCAGAATGGCTCCCCACGACCTAGTTGGGTCTGGTCTTCATCTAGGGTTGGTATTTTGTTCATTGTGAATTTTTTTTGCGTTATTGCTTGTATTTAAAAGTTGCATCATTGGATTAACATATTATTTATCTCAATTACACAGGTTTAAGTTTTCCAAGGTGAATGTCTCATTTAGCCTCACCTTGACCCCAGGCCTGCCAGGTCCCTCACCCCAGGGAACACCAGAATCACTCAAGGTCGTCTGGCCAGCGACGCCTGGCCAGGCAGCCCACACGTCTGGAATGTCCTTGTGTGCACCTGACAGACATGCAGCCAACAGGCAGGGCCCCCACCTGCCCTGGGCTGACCCGCGCTGGTGCTTCCCCCAAGTCTGACGCCAGCTTCCGGATCCTTCTCAAGTGCTCCAGGTAGCAACATCTACTGATCGGAACTGGCAGACGAGACAAAATCTTATAAAGACCTGGGAATCTGAAGAAACCCGAAACACTAATTTGAAAGAATATATGCACCCCTATGTTCCTTGCAGCTTTATATACAATAGCCCAGATTTGGAAGCCACGAATGTGCCCATCAGGAGTAAGTGGATAAAAAAGCTGTGGTACATTTATACAATGGAATACTACTTAGCCATAAAAAGGAGGAAGATCTACCCTTTGCACCAGCGTGGATGGACCTGGAGAACATTCTAAGTGAAATAAGCCGGTTAGAGAAAGACACATATAACTTCACTTGTTTGTGGAATCTAATAAACAAAATGAATGAACTATAAGCAATACAGAGAGAGACCCTGAGGCAGAGAGCAGGCTGAGAGCTGTTGGTGGGGGCCGCGGGCTGGAAGGGGTGCAGAGACTGAGAAGAAAGAAGAAAACGAGAAAAAACTCACGGATTCAGACAGGAGTGGGGGGATTGCCGTGAGGGAGGGGGCGGGGGAAGGCGGAGGAGGGCGAGGGGGTGTATGGTGCCGGAGGAGCCCTGACTGGGGGTGTGCGCACCGCAAGGTGAACTGATGGCAGGTAGTGGAGTTGTGCGCCTGAGACCTGCGCGGGTTTGTTGACCACTGTCACCCTAACGAATTCAGTAAAAAGGGGGGAAAATGTAAATGAAACAAATACATAAAATGATTGTTTAGTTTTAAAGAAAAAAATTAAGGACTTGGGAAATCATCTCTAGTAGGGACGACACCGTGGAGAGGAAGCCGCAGGTCCGCTGGCGAGAGTCCGGAGCGTGCACGGGGCAGAGGGGCGCGGCTGCGCCTGCCCCGCTGCCCAGTAGGCCGTCTGCATTTGTGCGCATGCGGCCACGCACCACTGGGGGCCACTCGAAATGTGGGTGAGAAACGGAGGGCCGAAGTTCTACATTTATTGAATGCAGGTTAATTTATACTCAATGTAAGCGGCCATGTGGAAGCAATGGCTACCGTATTACTGTGCAGCGCTAGACCAGTGATCCTCAAGTTTCTAACTTGCATGAGGACCACGTGCAGGATGTGCTAAAGCAGATCGCGGAGCCCACCCCAGAGTTTCTGCCTCCATGGGTCTGGGGCAGGACCTGAGAGTTCGCATTTCTAACAACTTCCCAGGCGCCGCTGCTGCTGCTGGGCTGGGGACACTTTGAGAGCCACCGATCCAGACAGTATTCTGATTCCAAACAACTGTGGGATAGTAAACAAATCACTCTTGTTTCAGGCACTGGCTTATACTGAAGCCATGGGGCAGGCTGGGTTTTGAAGGCAGATATGGATTCAAATCCCTGCTCCTCCATCGATTAGCTGCGTGACCATCCATAATCTGCTCCATCGCAAAATGGAAACAATGGGACACACCAAACAGGACAATAACAAAGATCAAATGTGGTAAGGTATATATGCCATTCAGTATGCATTATTTTTAAATTTCTCAATGCATCATTATTTATCCATGCAACAAAAATTTAGTGAGGACCTACTATGTGCCACACACGATATGGTTCTTTTATCCAACAATAACTTACATTGCAGCAGTGTCACAACTAAGGGATGCACCCTGCATTGAGTGGGTGGGGCCATGGATGCTGCCCAGCACCCCACAGTGTCCAAGGCCACCCCCACAGGGAAAGACCCAACCCCCAGGTCATCTGTGCTGAAGGAGAGAGACCCTGCATTACAGTAACTGTCCCCTCTAGATGCTGGTATCATTATCTCGTCCTTGGTCCCCCAGATCTTTGTTATGTCCCATCCCTCTGGGGTGGACCTTTAAGGGGCTGGTTCGGTTTGGCCCGTCTTCAGGGACCCAGTCCTAAGCTCTCCTCGGCCTTGGCTGAGCAGGCACCGGGCCAGGGCGGTCATGACTGGTGTGCCCAGCCAGTGAAATCTGACTTCGGGACTTCTCTCTGCCCCTCTCACCCTCACTTATGACTCTCAGGAGCCCCAGGTCACTTGAGACAGAATTCACCCTCCTCTCATAAAAACCTTGAGAGAGAAATCTGCACCCACCCATCTGATCTCACTAAGCCCGGGAAGTTCTCCACTGCCCTTGCTCCGGCTCTTCACCCCCACCGCTGCCTTCTTCCGGCCTTGTCCTCCCCTGCACGCCCCCCGCCGCCCAGGGCCCCCTCACCATACATTCTAAGATCATTTCCCGCTCAGGAAATATGTATATTAAATGAGGTTATACACATGAACAAGGCATTTGTAGCACAAGAAATAAGCATTTCTGCAAAGTAGTTCTGTCAAGATTCCTCAGTGCCTCGGGGTATTAGTTATCTAATGCTGCACATATAACACACAGACCCAAAATGTGGTGACTTTCAACAAGACATATTCATTGCCTCAGTTTCCACAGATCAGATGTGGGTGTGGCTGGGCCGGGTGTCTCTGGCCCCACCTCTATCTCGTGAGGTTACTGTAAAGCCGCCAGGGCTGCAGTCCCATCCAGAAGTTTGATTTGGGGTTGGGGAATCCACTCCATTTCTTCTTACAGTGGTAAGATAAACATAAAATTGATCAGTGTCCCTGTTTTTAAGAGTACGGTTCAGTGGCATTAGGTACATTCACATAGTTATGAACCACGACCAGAAGGTTTTCCTCTTCACGGCTGCAACTATACCCACAAAACCCGAATTCCTCTCCTCTCCCCGACCCTCCAGCCCCTGGCAGCTACCACGCTGCTCTCTGTATCTCTGAGTCTGACTCTTCCAGCTGCCCCACACACGAGGAATCGTACAATAGTTGTCTTTTGGTGACCAGCTTATTTCATTTAGCATAATAGTTCATGCTATGCATATACCATGTGTCAGAATGCCCTTCCTGTTTGGGGCTGGATAGTGTTCCATTGTACGTATCTACCGCTTTTGCTCGTCCACTCTTCCATCAGTGGACGTTTGGGGGCTCCCACCTTTTGGCTGTTAGAAATGAAGCCGTAATGAGCGCAGGTGTGTGACGACCCGCGTCCGCTCATTTCAGGCCCTTGCACCGAGGGCTTCAGTTCCCTGGCACGCCGCCTGGCCCCTCCTGGACGCTGCTTACGGACGGAGCCCCGCCCTCCCCACGACTCTCCCGGTCCCAGCAGGTCTGCCACGACTGCAGTGCCTGACTCCCCCCACCACGCGGTTTCCACAGCAAGGTAAGAGGAGCACTTCCTAGGGCATCATTTTTACCTCACACTAAAAGACTTTGAAAAATCATACACCACATTCTTTGGAAATTTTACTCTTTTTATTGCAAATTTCTGGTAAAGGAAAGAACACGGAAGCTGATTCTCATTTAAACTTTGGTGATAAGAATAAGCTCACAACCTCCCCGGTGTGTGATTCGCCACTGGGGCCTTCCATAGGCCCTGAGGCCTGCGTCCCATCCCAAGTCAGAGGCCCTGACTTGATGGGGGGCGGGGCCAGGCCAGGCACCAGTAGCTCTGTGGACTCCCCAGGTGACAGCAACATGTAGCCAGAGCTCATGACATGGACTTGGCAGCATCAGAAGCACCTGAGCCACTCAGCAGACAGCTGAGCATCCCCAGCCCCTACCTGTCTCTAGCGGTCTCCTCTGCCCCTCCTCCAGGCGCCCAGGCCCCCTGTTCGGAGACCCCTGAGGGGAGAGCCGCCAGAAGGGCCCTGGCTCTCTGCTCTGCTGCAGCTTGTGCTTAACACGTGGAGAACTGAGCTGCACGGGCTGCTCTATTGCAAAAGGAAATTCACTTTCTGATTGCAAAAGAGCATTAACCATTTCTTTTCATTGGTCAGTGGAAATAGTCTTCCTATATTGAAATGCAAGGATTCGTGACAAAATAAGGAAAAACATGTTGGATGACATATTCCTTATATGACTTCTCAGGTCCAAATTAAAAAAAATTTTTTTTGTCAAGCCATCGAGGGTTAAATATTATGTACTTTAGCAGCATATTTTATATGGGTAAACAGTAATAGCCAGTGAGATATTTCATTTATGATTTCTCCTAAAAGTAGAAAACACTTTGATTTTCCTGAGTCCTCATCAAACAAAGAAAAAGATTTTAAAGTTTTAAAAGTATTCCTGTTTTCTTTCTCCGGGGCACCCTCACAGTTTAGCACGGTGTGTGTCTCGTTGCCGGTTGGCACGTACACGGTGGACAGACAGCACTGGCGCCGACACTCAGTGACTAGTTCCACACGGCGACTGAAGAGAAAACACCCATCATCTACAAAGTTGCTCAAAATGAAAGTTTCTTGACAGTGTTATAAATGCAATATCAGTTCGAGTCTCCGTCCATACAAAAGTATGAATTTCTATTTCATTAATAATAGTGAGTGGTCAGTGTCTTAACGGCGATAAAGTTTAGACTTTAAAAAATACATAAGATCCCATTTTTATATCATAATTCTGATATAGTATTATCATGCCTTCTATTTTGTTCACAAAACTTGGGTAGGGTACAGTGCATTGACGTGATAAGACCAAGGCACAGGAATACAGAAAGTATATATAAACTTGAGCACTTTGTGCCAAATTTGGAAACATTTAGAGAGTAGATCACAAAGCCTGAAAAATCCTCACACCCTATGATGATTAATGGACAATCAATCAGTTGTGCAATAAACAGACTATTAACCACCATTTTGTTATTAAATATATGGCTATCACTATACGGGCTGTGGATAATTGAAAAAAGTTTTCAATATTAAAACCTGGTATAACTAGGTGGTCAATGTAGGTATTGTACCTTGCATTGTCTAGATAATTGTCCTAAGGTTCCATTTTAATTTTTAATCTATATGGCAGTTTTCAATTTTTAAACAATTTTCATTATATAAGTGGTGGGGTTTTTCCAAATGTTAAGTCCCTTCCCCCTACAAAAGACAGAAGAGTTATCAGAAGATAACCAACATAAGAAATGTACAGACAACAATAGTAAAAATCCAACTACTGACTCAAAGGTTGAATTCTAAACCATCAGGACATTCTCTTAATTTATGGTGAGGAGCAACACATTTCTGTGACAATTCATTGGTTTCTTAATTTAAAAAATCACTGTGACATTTTCAAAATAGTAAGGTCTTAGCTAGAGCATCAAGCATTGAAGGAAAATTAAGTTGGAAAACTTAGTCTTTTCATTCATAAAGTGAAGGCAATAAGAGCCTTTCCAAATTAGGGAGTGAAGGGAGGATATCCCACTGAATTTACAGAAGTGGATATAAAGTGGTAAAAATTGTATTTAATACTTTTAAAGATAGAGTGTTTTCAAGACTCAAGGTAAACATTTAGATCCATGAAAACACATTTCTTGGCACATGCACGCATGAATAGGACAATTCCAAATACCACAACAACCTGGCTACAGAAGTATCTAACTCCCACACCGACTGGCAAAACCGCCTTTGAGGTCCTCTCCCAACTCCCTTCACATGGGAGCTTCTGGCTTCTGCATCTGTTGGATTTGCTTCTGCAGGTGATCCTTGTCCAGTTTCATCTTGGCTTCGAGAACTTGCCTGAGGGATCCTATGCTTTCGTAGATGGCTGTAAACCCTTTAAGGAGAGGTAAATTTCACAAGCGTTAATATTTGTTTTCAAAAATGTATCAAATTCTACAAATTCCACATATTTGACTAAGCATATAGTCACAGTTGATTTGGCCAAAAAGTATCGATAGATGCTAAAACGAATGGAGTAAAACTTTGCTGGGAAACAGGATAGTTACATAGTTTCACAGTATCTCCCTACAGGTTATTTTTTAATTATAAAGGGGAAGAGGATGATTACAATGGAGAAACCTGGCGGTTACACTTTAACCAAAGGATCAGAGCCAACTTCACCAACACTGAGAGAATCATCATCATGTACCTTCTGGTAAGGTACCTAGGGAAGGACACATAACTTCTGTGGCATTTCTGTCCAAAACCTACAACCCAAATCTAAGTGAGAGGAAGCAAACAGACCCAAACTGTGGGACATTCCACAAAGTCCTGGACTGTATTCTTTAACGATGTCAACATCACTAAGGAATGGATCCATATTAAAAGAGACTAAATAAAGAAGCATGATAATTAAATACATGATATGTGATTCTGGATTAGAACCTAGGTCAGGGAAGGTTTGCTATAAAGAAAACAATGGTGAAAGTTGAATATTGAAACATATTTCATCAGTATTACACTGTACTACAGTTGTTTAAGAGAATGAATGTCCTTGTTCTTAGAGCATATAGTTGAAACGTCTTAGAGTATATAGCTTGAAATAATAAAGGGATAAAAAGGCATCATAACTTCTGAAATGTACTCTCAAATGATTTAGAAAAAAACTGTATTCACACAGCCACATACGAGCACACACAGAGAAAGAAATTAAACAAATTCCTAAAACATTAACAATTGGTCAATCTAGACAGAAGGCATATTGAGTTTTTGAACTGTTCTTACACTTTTTCTAAATCTGAAATTATTTCAAAATAAGAAAATAGAAAATGAAAAAATTTCCCCATCAAAAGAGAATTTTGTACTATTCTGTATTCCTCTTGGTCTTTAAAATAAATGTTTGAAAGGTCTTGTGTTCATTCATATAATTAGAGTTTTCTTTCAGGAAATTTCCTTTATGTTGCAATTCATGAAAAATAGGTATAAACGTTATGTATTAAAACTATTGTTTCTTATTGAGTGGAAAGACATACAAATTAATAAATAAAAGAGCGGGTCACTGATCAGCATGCAGAGCATGCACTGTCATTTGAAAAAGCACATGCATGTATATCCTATATGTATAGAAAGATATACATAAAAATGACCTCTGGATTAAAGAAGGCATGAGTATTTTAAAAAATATTTTGTGCTTTATGACTTCCCATTAAGAAATGTATTAATTTTGTAAGAAAAAATAAATATTTTTAATTAGATTCATATGCATTCTTATTAGGTACTAAATAGTAAAAACCTCAATGGTATATTGATTAGATGATAGTAAATTCACTCAGGAAATGATGCAAAGTAAAACACAGATGAAATATTCAAATACCAAATTCTAATAGCCCAAAGACCAAGAAAGAGAATTCATTTTTATCTTTACAAGTTCTTCAATGCATACACTTAATTGTGGCTTCTACTTAAATAACAGACTTCAGTGGTAACGACAAAATTATTCTTGGGATAACTAAGACTTTTATCTCCATGCAGCAAAAGCACAATGGTTCCACACAAGGAAACGATGGAATCACGGAACTGGAGGAGCGAGGAGACCATTTCGGCCTCCTTCTCACACGCCAAGACTGTTTGCTCTTTCCTGACCATGACCAACCCGCTTCCACGTGAACACTTTCAGTGACAAAGAGGCCTCAAACTCTCAAAGCCGCCAGTGTCTTTTCAGGACCAGTCAGTCCATCGAGGATACAGTCAGCCCTCACTTAACAATAGGTTCTGCCACCTTAAACAAATTAACAGTAACAAAACCAATTTTACCACAGCTAGATGACACAAAGAAGAGTTTTAAAATGATGCTCAGTGTTGATCCTTATTTGAGGACCTGTTTTGCTTCTGCCTCATATTGAGTTAAAAGCTGTCTTCAGCCCTGGCTGCTGTAGCTCAGTGGATTGAGTGTCGACCTGCGAACCAAAGGGTTGCCAGTTTGATTCCCAGTCAAGGCACATGGCTGGGTTGTAGGCCAGGTCCCCAGTAGGGGGCACATGAGAAGCAATCACACATTGATGTTTCTCTCCCTTTCTAAAAAAAGCTGTCTTCAGGTAAAGTTCACTTACTAGTTCCAGTTCTGTATTCCTCACTCCGCATGTAAACCTAATCTCTCCTTTCACGACAGCACTTCAGAAATAGAAACCAGCTCTCGCTGACATTTTCTTCCAACCGAGTGTGAATTAATGGGCCCTGTTAACTTTTGAGTAGAGGAAAACCATTCATTGCCATGGTGGTATATTGCCAGCAGTATAGAAAAAAAAAAAAGCCTTTATAAGCCTCTCAGAGATATGTGCTTAGCTCTGGGACACACTGACCTTGGCTATGAATTTAAAAGAATCTGTAGGCAGCGCTAAAGAAAGTGTACATCAATTGCAAGCCAAGCAATTTTCATTTTGTTCGCATGTCCCTTATGGTGGCTCTTCATGAACTTGGAATTAAAACAATGTTTTGGTCAATACAGCACAGCTACTTACAAAACCGCCCGAGGACATTTCACTGCTGTTACCACCACCAGCATCGTGGGAGCTTGAGGGGAATACTGCTGTGTTTTTGCCGTGTATAAAGTGCACCCAAGTTTTCAGCCTAAACTTTTAAGAAAAAAACTTAAAAAATGTTTTAATTCAATTTTTATTTACTTATATTTAGATATTTGGGGGTTTTTTTGTATTATAAGGGAATTTTAGGCCTGGTTGGTATAGCTCAGTGAATTGAGTGTGGGCTGTGAACCAAAGGGTTGCCAGTTCAATTCCCAGTCAGGGCACATGTCTGGGTTGCAGGCCAGGTCCCCAGTGGGAGCCACGTGAGAGGCAACCACACACATTGACGTTTCTTTCCCTCTCTTATTCCATCCCTCCCCCTCTCTGTAAAAATAAATAAATAAAATATTTTAAAGGGGGGATTATAGCATTTATTTTTGAGCATATCGTAGTACGAGAAATTTTATGTAACAAATAATTACAAAACACAAGAACATACAAGGTATTGCGGTACTATCCATGTATAATGCACATCCGTATCTTCCTTCAAAAATGTGGGCCAAAAGTATGCATTAGACACAACAAAATACAGTAATTTGATGGGTTTTAGATGCAACAGAAAATAAACCGTGCGAGCTGAGTCTTTCTGGCCTACCAGCATCGACCTCGGCTTTCACTCCCTTCAGGTCCGCACTCATCTGCAGCTCCAGCTTGCTGATGCGCCCGTGCAGCTTCTCCTCCTCCGCTCTGGTTCTCTGCACTTCCACGTGCTTCTTTTGACTCTCTTCTATCTTGTCAAGTCTGGCTGACATCTGGCTGAGCTTCTTCTCCACGTCCCTTTCACTGGCTCCCTGAGATCCATATAAGAATTGCACCTGATTACTCCCCCAAAAAGTCTGTATGGCATTTGCATCGGCTAGAATGGCACTTAACAAGAGTCTGCAGGGAACAGAATTGCAGAGGTTGCTCGCTGGTCACCCTAATATCCATTATCCTTTTTTTTTCTTAACAGACCCTCGATTTACAGCTGAGTATAAGGTCACCCAGAATAAAGGCAACATTTTCTACTGTCTCCTGATTTGGGGGCAGCCATATGATTAGGTTGTGGCCAATGAGATGCAAGTTCAAGTGTATGTGGTAGCTTCCAGGAAAAATTAAAAGCCGGCTGAGGCATACCCTTGCCCTTTCCTTTTTTCTTCTTTTCCTGGGATTCAGACATGATGACTGGAGCTCTAGCAACCTTCTTGAACTATGAGGACAAGGGTCACTCTCTAAGATTGGCAATTAAGCCAGAAATATCCTGGGTCACCGAGGACTGACAAGCTACCACATCAGCTCTGCAATTCCTGTGTCCAGATATCCTCTATGTGAAAGAGAAATAAGCTTTTTATCTTATTAAAGCCACCATTATCCTAAGGTTTACTGTTAGTTATTAGGCCAACCCACATGTAAAAATAACATGATCTGAAGACCCAGAAGCCTATAAATGTATTAGCATAAATCTAAATAAATGAATCAGTAGATATGATAAAAACGTGAAGGACATTTAAAGAAATATTGGATACAGTAAATTATTTCCTTCCTTTCCCTTCCCACTGTGCCTCATTGGTAGGGGAACCAGGTGAGCTCTGGAGGCCAGGACTACAAACTCTAAGCCGTAGGTGGGCCATGGCATGACAAAGCGCTCGCAGTGCTGTTCAATGCACGGCCTGCAGTTCAACAGCTGGGCACTCAGAGAGCAGAGCCAGAGGTGCCAGCTACACCAGTCTCTTCTGCTCCATCAAAGTCCAACAGGAGGAAGCAGTGCAAGAAAAGAGAAGGGAGAGGGAGATGCTCAGGCTAAATAACCAAACCAAGAAAGGGCCTGCTAAGTACTGGTTTCAGAGTCCAGTGATTTTGAATACTGGGTAGGCAAGGGCTTTCTCAACATCGTTTTTGAACAGTTCTACAAATCTTAGTCCTGAGGGAGAGTGGGGTAAAAGGAGAAGGAAGCTGGAAAAGAAAACAGTGAATTCTCTTTACATGTTGCACAACAGCATCTTATACTGTAGTTACAGTGTGACTGGGGGACCTGGAGGGGAAATCCAACCAAGACTATTTTTACCAGATCGTGAAATTAAAACAAGCCAGGTTGAACTTTGTAATTGCTTGTTTCATTTAGAAAAGCAGATGGGCAATTTGGTTTGTTAAGGTCTTCACTTAAATTCATCTTTGCTGGAAATACTAAAATTTTCTACTTAACTTTTGTTAACCAAAACAAATCAACGCTCTCTATCTCTTTATAACAAATACAAAGAATCAATATGAACCTCAGAAATGGATCCTCAGGCAAGACAAAACCGCACAGCTTAATGTGGTGCTAAGTGAATCGGTGATAAATTACCCGGTATTACTGAGACACTGCAGGCCCCCACCAACTAATTTTACCACGTTATTGCTAAACATCAATACCTACGCTGTTTTCCTTAACAACCAAGGAAAGCTGATCGATTTTCTGTAGAAGTTCTTTTTCTATCCGTTCTTGTTCCTGTTGCAGCCAGTTCCGAGCCGATAAAATCTGGTTACTGAGTTCCTCAATTGTACCTTTAAATCTACAATAAAGGAGACAGCAAGTTAGATATAGAACTATTTGAAAATTACATCAAGCAACCTTAGTCTCTGACTATCAAATGTCTCATGAGCGGGTCAGTAGTAAACTGTGCTCATTCAGAATTACCGCTTACCTTTTCTTGGAATTGCATTTAGCACTTTTGGGGGACGGGGCGGGGAGGGGAAGAGGATGTAACAGAAAAGCGCCTGATGATACTTTCTACCCATGAACAACTGACAGAGTGGGCATTGCAGTGTCAGAGTCACACAAAGCCACACCAGGTGCTAGTCTTCGCAGTTCAGAGGGTCCCCTAGTGCTCCTGGCTCAGAGGACACTGTCCAGGTGCGCCTCCAGGCTCCCTTATTTCCCTGGACTTCTCCTCCACCTGCCTGCCTCCCTTTCCCTATAATGTTCTCCAAATTATTTTGGCCTCCAAACAGGTATTTTCTAATTTAAATTTAAAAAAATTTTTGAAAGAAAAAATAACCCAAGCCTTCATTTCTCTTGTTCTTTCCCTTTCCAAATACCTTAAAATAACACCTCCCACTTGCTGGCTTCTTTTAATTACTTTTTTATTACTCTTATTGTGAAATGTAATGAAAGTGCAAAAGAATATATGTCTTAAATTATGATAACAAAATAAACACCCATTGTTTTAAAACCCCTAATTATCTGCAATATCTGTTTGCCTCTTTTTCCGTTTTAAGAAAACCTCAAATGTAGCCATCAGAGAGATGCAAATTAAAACCATAATGAGATAACACTTCATACCGGTTAGAATGGCCACCATAAACAAACAACAAGTGCTGGTGAGGTTGTGGAGAAAAGGAAATCCTAGTGCACTGTTGGTGGGAAGGCAGGCTGTGCAGCCACTGTGGAAAACAGAAAACTAAAAATTTTCTCAGAAAACTAAAAATGGATCTGCCTTTTGACCCAGCAATTCCACTGCTGGGATTATAACCTAAGAACCTTAAAACATCAATATCAAAGAACCTATGCACCACAATGTTCATAGCAGCACAATTTATAATGGCCAAGTGTCAGAAGCAACCTAAGTGCCCGTCAGTGAATGAGTGGATCAAAAAACTGGTACATTTACACAATGAAATACTAGGCAGCAGAGAGAAAGAAGGAGCGCCTACCCTCTGTGACAGCACGGATGGAACTGGAGAGCATTATGCTGAGTGAAAGAAGCCAGGTGGTAAAAGACAAATACCATATGATCTCACCTATAAGTGAAACCTAATCAACAAAACAAACAAACAAGCAAAATATAACCAGACACATTGAAATTAAGAACAAACTGACAGTAACCAGAGGGGAGGTGGGAGGGGACAATAAGGGGAAAAGAGGGAAGGGTTGTCAAGGAACAAGTATAGGGGATACATGGACAAAGCCAACAGGGAGTAGGATGGAGAGCGGGAGGTGGGGATGGCTGGGTTTGGGGGGAGTGGGGGGGAATGGAGACAACTGTACTTGAACAAAAATTTTTTTAAGCAATAAATTATAGCTTTGAAAAAAAAGAGAAAAGATATATAAAAACTCACATGCTATATAATCTTCCTCCTTTTGAAAGCTAACTATTTTATCACCAGACTCCAGATTGCAGTGAGAGACAGAAGCACCAAAAAGATGGTGGAGGAAGAGAAGAGAAAGATGAAAAGCACATTTTCTTTTACAAAGTGCTCCAGAAAGGCAAATAAGGGCTTGAAATGTAACACACTCTTTTAATGGGGAAGACCTTTGCTATAATCTGAGTCATAGTCTTCTATGAGGCAGTAAATATTGATAGTTGGCCCAATATAAATCATCCTCTGTAGACAACAAGTGCATTTTGTAGTAGAAATATTAAAAAAAAAGAAGAAGAAGAAAGAAAATAAAAGGCAAGGAAAGGAAAGGGGAAAGAGAAAGAAAGCCTGCCTCAAATGTAAACTGGATACATGGCTGCCTAGCTGGAGACTACATTTCCCACCCTTCTTTGCAGCTAGGTGTGGTCACATGACTAAGTTGGACAATGATAAGTACAATTTCTGGGCCATTGAAAACAAAGATCTTTGGCCTCACCCAGGCAGGAAGCCAAGGCAGCAGCTGAGCCTAACTGTGGAGCACACCCTGCAGCCCTGTATAACCGGGAACACTGACCCCTGAACACAGCAGCTTTACTGAATTCATTTATTCTTACAGTTTTTGGGTGCAGTCTTAAGAGCTTTCTATATCATGTTTGCAAACAGGGATAATTTTACAATACTTTTTTAAATTTGAAAGTTTTTTGTTTTTATTGCCTGCTATCTCTGGCTAGCATTTGTGGTACTATGATGAATACAAGCGAGACTGGGCATGCTTGTCTTGTTCCTGGTCTCAGAGGAAAAACGTTCAGATTTTCATCATTGAGTATGATGTTAGCAGTGGCCTTATGACATATGGCCTTAATTAGGTTGGCGTACATTCCTTCTATACCTTCTTACTCCTCTTGCTTAAGAAGGAGAAGATACACTTTTTCTTAATTAGGTTTGTAATCTTTATCATGAAAAGGTGTTGAAATGCTTCTTCTGAGTCTGAGGAGATGATCTTATGATTTTTGTCCTTTGTTCTGTTAATGTGGTATATTACATTGATTGATTAGCCTATATTGAACCATTCTTACAGCCCAAGGATTAATCCTATTTGATTATGGTGAATGATCCCTTTAATGTACTTTTGAATTTGGTTGCTGGTATTTTGTTGAGAATTTCTGCATCTGTGTTCATCAAGGATATTTTCTTGTAGCATCTATATGTGGCTTTGGCATCAGGGTAATGCTGGCCTCATAGAATGAATTTGGAAGTGTTCCCTCCTCTCCAATTTTTTGGATGAGTTTGAACATGGTTGCCATTAATCCTTCTTCAAATATTTGGTAGAATTCATCCATGAAGCCATTTGGTCCTGGGCTTTTGTTTGTGAGGAGGTATTTGATTACTGATTCAATCTTCTTTGTGGGAGGAACTCCATCCAGCAGAGCTCTCCTGGCCACTGCGATGAGAAATAAATCATCCCAGACAAAATCTCGTTGTTCTGGCGGGAAAAAGGGTGGCGATTCCCTCTAGTGGAGAAAGCCCTGAGCCCTCCTCCCGAACGGCTTTCACTAGGAATGGTATGTGTAGGTGTGTACAGCCTACGTGCACAACTCATCGATCAATGTCAAAAGCCTATGCCATACACAAACAGGTATTATCTATAGATAACAATTGAAGGAACACAGAGATCTGTCATAGGTCAGGGTCTGCTAGCCATGCTGACACCAGACGGTCTTTAAGACGTGTTTCATGAGAAAAGAGTTTACTCCTTATGCCTTGAACTTAAATATCTGGTGTGTATCGACAGAACCATACAAAGCAAAGCAGAGCAAGCTTCAAAAGATACAAAGTGCATTTCAGGCCTGATTCCCACAGGAACCCCCAGTGTCAGAGTCGGGTCATGTCTGCCACCTGGGTTACCTGGTTTTCCAGGGAGACTTATAGCCCCTTTCAGAGCCTGCACTCACAGGGCTACACAGAGCAGTCCCCAACACTTCTTATTATTGTTCTGTTCAGATTCTCTTCATAACTCTGTATTGGTACGTTGTATATTTCCAGGAATTCATTGATTTTCTTCTAGGTTATCCAATTTGTTGGCATAATTGTTCATAGTAGTCTGTTACGATCCTTTGCATTTCTGTGGTATCAGTTGTAATGTCTCCTTTTTCATTTATAATCTTATTTATTTGAATCCTCTTTCTTTTTTTTCTTGGTTAGCCTGACTAAAGTTTTGTCTATTTGGTTTATCTTTCAAACAAACCAACAATTAATTTTGCTTATTTTTTCCATCTTTTAAAAATTGTTTTATATTTCATATTTCATTTATTTCTAGTTTAAGCTTTATTTTTTCTTTCTGCTACCTTTGAGATTAGTTTGTTATTCTTTTTCTAATCCATGGAAGTATAAAGTTAGGTTACTTATCCAAAACCTTTCTTTTTTCAAGATACACACTTTTATTAGTGTAAACTTCCCCCACAGAACTGCTTTTGCTGCATCCCATAAGTTTTGGTATATTGTGTTTCCATTTTTATTTATTTCAAGATTTTAAAATTTCCCTGTTGCTCTTCTTTGATACATTTATTATTCAGGAATGGGTTGTTTAGTTTCCAGTTTTGCTCCTGTTATTGATTTCTAATTTGATGCTATTGTGGTTTATAAAAAAAGAAAGAAAGAAAGGTACTTGGTTTTATTTCAATCTTCTTTAGCTTGTTAAGACTTGTTTTGTGGCCTAACATATGACCTATCCTAGAGGATGTTCTGTGTGTACTTAAGAAGAATGTGTTGGATGGAATGATCTATATACGTCTGTCATGTCTCTCGTTGGGCAGAGTTGCTTTCCACGCTCCATGGTAGTGGGGGCCACTGGCTGGGCTCCCTGTCCTGGCAGGGCCCTGGGTGAGCTGCGTCATCCTGTGGAGCCGATAACTGGGCTCTGAAGTTACCTCTGGTTGGGCGGGGTTGGAAGCTGTGTCCCCTGGCACATGGTGCTGCTGGCTGGACTCCACGACGGGACAGGGCTGCGGGCTGGCTCCACAACTGCACCTGATCAGGTGGGGCCCACACTGTACTCCCTGGCCAGGTGCTGCCCCTAGCTGGGCTCAGGTTCAGGCAGGACCACAGGCTGGGATTTGTGATCACAGGGCCTCGGGTTATGCTCCATAACTTAGCAGGCTGTGCTCCACTGTTGGGAGAGGTGACTGACCTGGCTCCCTGGTCAGGCAGGGCCACCACTGTGTACCTCGCAGCTGCGTGGAGCTGGAAGCCGCGCTCTGCAGCCGGTGGAGCTGTTGTCTGGGCTCCCCGGTCTAGGGCCACAGGCCACGTGCCGGGTTTGGGCAGGGTCGCTGGCTGGGTTCCCTGCCTGGGACTGGCCGTGCTCAGCAACCACGTGGGGCTCTTGGCTGCGGCCACTGTTCAGGCTCCCTGGTCCAGTCCACTCAGAGGCTACAGCTCTCATTTTTTATTATTATATTTCGAACAAGTTCTGTTTGGTCATTTAAATTCTGATGGGTCATTTTGGATAATCTCTTACCTCTTAGTCATACTTTTAAAATGTGTGTGTGAATACATACATACATACATGTACACGTACACTTATTTTACACAATACTTCCTACACATGTGGTACTCAGAATTCTGAGTCTGTTTTTTGTTGTTTCTTCTGACCCGATCCCATACGTGGCTTTTTTTCCTTGTGTTGTTGACAATATTTGATTGTAAATTCGTGTTCTTTAGTACTTCCTTTGTCTGTGGGAAGACATGAACACCGAGGATTTACATTTGCTTTGGCCAGGAATCTCAGGCCGCTACCGAATCAGGATCTTTCTAAGATAATTACCCACTGTGGTTTCCTTGAAGCCACTTAGGTAAGGTGCATCATAGTTCTAAATCCATATAGAGGTCGTGTTGTGATCCTGGACTTTTAAGAAATACCTTTTACTCCTCCACCCAGAGCTGAGATTCAGACAGGTAAGTGTCCTTACAACCGCTTTGTGGAGTGGGATTTCCCGTGGTTCACCCCACTGGTGTCTCACCCTTTGGGTCTCCAATACGTCCCTCTGTCTCACACAGGCCCCAAGCTTTGTCCCCTTTCCTCTGTGAACAGACTTTGTGTGTAGACTGCCAAACTTGAAATTGTAGGAAGAAAAATAAAGATGTTCACGTCTGCTGACTAGTAATATCTCCTAAGGAAATAATTCACAGAAGAAAAAAATACTAAAATGTTCATTTTCTTCCTGTGTGATCGAAGAAAGGATTAGAGAGCTCTTTCCACACTTGGCCAGCTTGTAGGCTCTATGAGAAATAGTGACATAACTCAATAATTATACAAACACACACAGAGGAAAGAAAAGGTGGTTTTCACAAGTAAATCGTTAAATTGGCAATGACACTGAAACAGCATTAACCATGGAGGCAATGAGATGCGAGGACTGGGAAAATGATTGACTTAAACTTTCCACCAGCCTCTACCAAAGTTCCCGTAGTCACCTTTAAAGAATAGATTAAGTCAGCCCTGGATGCTATAGCTCAGTGGACTGAGCACTGGCCTGCAAACCAAAGGTTGCTGGTTCATTCCCAGTCAGGGCACGTGCCTGAGTTGTGGGCCAGGTCCCCAGTGGCAGTGTGCAAGAAGCAACCACACATGGATGTTTCTCCCCTTCTCTTTCTCCCTCCCTTCCCCTCTCTCTAAAAATAAATAAAATCTTTAAAAAATATATTAAGTCAAATATACATAAATGCACACACCCACATATAAACATATACAGTCAATACTGGGTCGGCATTGGCAGGAAAATGCCACGCTCATGAAGTCATGACAGGAGGTGTATGGTCTGTGACTGAGCAGAAGAGCAGCAGGTGAGTTTCACTGCGGGCAGGGACAGTGACTCTAACGGGTCGCTGTAAGAACGTGGGAAAGTATAACAAACTAGAGGACACTAACTAGAGAGCTCCACCTCACCCTGGTGCAGACCTCCCCCACCCGGACTGCCCAACGGTGTGCCCCTAACAGCCATGATGTCTCCGTCGCTGCTTCCGCCCCTTGTGATCCGTTTCCAACTGCAATCAAGGCCATTGATAAAAATTTCATATATATGGATATATGTCACTTCATCTGCTTAAAATACCCCAGGGGCTCCTTCCCGCTCTAGTGGTGGGACAGAAGGCCCGACCGAGGTCCACAAGGCCCCGCAAGCTGGCCCGCCTCCTCCTCGGTCGCACCTCTCTGCTCCAGCCCTCACTTCCCCTCAGCCTCAGTCCTGGCCGGTTTGCCATCTTGCAGGTTCTTTTTTTTTTTAATCCTTACCCAAGCACATGCTTGATGATTTTGGAGAGAGGGGAAAGGAAGGGAGGAAGAGAAAGAGAAAGAGAGAGGGAGGTAGAGGGAAACATCCATTGGTTTCCTCTTTTACACCCCCCACCAGGGAACGAACTTGCAACCCAGGCATGTTGCCCTGACTGGGAATAGAACTGGCGACCTTTCAGTTTACAGGATGATGCTCCAACCAAGTGAGCCACACCAGCCAGGGCCACAATTCTCCCAAAGACAGGCTATTCCATCCCCTGTATTCCCAACTCCCTCTTCACCCAACGAATCCACTCACCCTTCACTTCTCACTTCCAGCACGGCTTCCTCAGGACGGCCCCACAGCCAAGCCCCTGTTATTGCCCCTCACAGCACCACTGTGTCAGCTTCCTGTGGCTGCTGTGACAAATGACCACCCACGTGGGGGCAAAAAACAACACATCTACTTTCTCCCAGTTCTGAAGGCCAGAGGCCTGAAATCAGGTTCCCTGGACTGAAGTGGAGGCGTGAGCAGTGGTGGTTCCTTCTGAAACTCTGAGGGGAGAACCATTTTCTTGCCTTTTTCAGCGTCCACAGCTTGTGGCCCCTTCCTCCTGCCTTCCCACTCCCATCTCTGCTTCTGTGTCACATGGTCCTCTGTCCTGACCCTGACCTTCCTGCCTCCCTCTCACAGGGACTTGAAGGGGTGGCATCAGGTTTACCCAAATAACCCAGGATAATTTACCCACTTCAAAATCATAATCATATATGCAAAGTCCCTTTTTACTATGCAAGAGGCCATATCCACAGGTAACATGGTGACATGGGGGGACCATTATCCGTCCTACCACACCGTGTCCCTCTTCTTCAAAGCACTTAATCACTATTGGTAATAATGTAGCAAATGCTAATTTTAGTCATTAATGGATGCTCATCAATCCCTGGACTGTAAACCGCACAAGGATAGGAATAGAGTGTGTTTCTCATCATTACTTATCCTCAGCACCTGGGCCAGTGCTCACGTGTTTTCTCAAATGAATAGATAGATTACTGTCCACCCACCAAACCCCAAAACTAGGAAGGCAAAGTGACAGCATGCTACCCGGAAACTTTTCCTTTGAACTTCCAGTTGTTTACGCAATAAATAAAAACCAAGAGGGAAAAACAGTGCAGTATTAAGAAGTTCATGAAGAACTTCTACCAAAGTAAAGATGTCTCTGAGTTATCACTTACTTCGTGTCCAAGAGCTGCAGCTGGTGGTTGCTGTCCCTGTGGGACATCTTCAGCTTGGTGCTTTGCTCCGATATCGACAAGTCCACTCTGTTCAAAAGCTGAGAGATCTGGAAAAGAGACTTGGCTTGTACTAGCGCATCCACCTGCTCAGAGGTCATTCCAGGAGGCATTCCGTAAGCTGCATTCAAGGCACAGGAGGTGCAGATTCGGTCTAACTGAGGACGTTCACCTAGGAGTGCACCTCGTTGGCCCACTTCCCTTTTCTCTCACACGCACCCATCACCCATCAAGTCGTGCACCGAGCTCTCTGAGGAGCAAGTGTCTGCCCAGAACACTACCTCCACCTGCTGGCACAAATACGGTCACTGTCACCTGGACAGTTTTACCACTGATGGAACTGCTGGTCACAGAGAACAGGATTTTTTTTTTCAGATCTTATTTATTTATTTTTAGAGGGGAAGGGAGGGAGAAATAGAGAGAGAAACATCAATGTGTGGTTGCCTCTCATGTGGCCCCCACTAGGGACCAGGCTGGCGACCCAGGCCTGTGCTCTGACTGGGAATCAAACTGGTGACCCTTTGGTTCATAGCCCGGGCTCAATCCACTGAGCTACACCAGCCACGGCATGAACGGAATTCTTATTGCTTACAAAACCCGCTAAGGTCCCGGACTTACCCCAGGTTGTTAAGTCACCGGAACATATGATTTGTGAAGAAGGTCCCTCTCACTCCTTCCTCCCACTGTTTACCCAGTCGCCTCATCTCTTTATTAACATTTCATACAAAACGAGTGCTATATGAAACTTCTTTATTTTCTGCAAGTATGATGTTCAGTGTTCCTTACTTAAAGACTCATGGAACACGTATTTATCAAGTCCAGAACAAAGAAAAAAATATATCTTTTTATGGCTTTCTATTCTACATGGCTTGGCTACCAGAAAGCTTAATATTTCCTTAGCATTTATTTTTCTGGCCTATCCTCACTCTTCTGTGATAAAAGTTATTGAACTAAAAGTAATTGGACTTACTGCCATTCTATTCTTCTTTTTATGGCTTTATAATACCTGTGTTTTTCATTTACTGGATGTAGTTAAGACACAGTGTTTTTAATCCAACAAGTTGACCAGACGCCCCACATTCCTGGAACAGTCCCTTTTTAAATGAAGAATAGTAAGTAGAGCAAATATTGTGGGCAAAGTCCTACAACGACAGGCCCCGTTCTGGCAAAGGGGAAGTTTTAAGTGGCCAAAAAGCACACGGTAAAACGCCAAGAACTTTGCTTTGTAAAATTACTCTATAAACTCCAAGGCAGAATACTCTGAAAATGCATTAGCCAGCTTATCCTCAAGCTTTGTCCCGACTGTTCCCCAGGTACAGACTATGGGACGGGGCAGCACATACAATGAGTCCCAGTGGACAGAGCAACATTTCCTCAAACCCAAAATTGGGACGACTGGCAGGTAAAAGAATGCTGATCACTTATGTGTGTGAGAGGTAGTTTTCGAGTTATAATTTAGAATGTCTAAAGTATATTAATTGTTGTAAGAGTGAGAGAAAAGAATCTTTGAAATTAGGACTATACCGACAAATCTCAGTGGTTTGGTTGCCACACTCAGGAAGTGCCACTCCGGTGACGTGGAAGGAAGGAGAAGCCAAGAAAAGAGATGATGCTTACTTACGCTGGGTGCCCTACCTACCGTGTCCTGTAAGAATCAGTCAGCGCCACGTTATTCTTAGCTTGGAACAATGACCACTTTTAACTGGCTGCCTGAAGCAGGCCGTACCTGTCCCTCTGCGTCTTTGATTTTCGTTTCCAAGATAAGTTTGGCAGCTTGCTGTTCCTTGTTCAGGTGCTGAAGCCCCTCGTAGGTCGTTTTGTGCTCGGCAGAGAGTCTGGCTATGCTGGCGTCACATCTGTCCGGGCAAACAACAAAGCCTATTCTCATTAAAGGGTGAAAACAAGTGCCAAAACTCCCTTACATACTATAAAATGCATGACTCTCCTCAAAGAAACTGCCTATGAGTCATTCTTTTTAACAGAGGTTCACAGGAATTCAGAGAGCTGCCCTCATTACGGTTTTTACGTTGAACCACAGGGGTATGCTTAATAAGACCAGGGACATAACCATCAAAGGGCAACAGCTTTACAGGGCTCATGACTACAAAACCATTTAAGCAGTGAGAGCCCCACCACAAAAAGCATGTAGAGTGTGTCGGATGCAGTCTGTCATTCTCCAGAACCACCTCAGCCCTTTCAAGCTTGGGGCCTCTTTGAATTTTGGAGGCAATTTCTACCACATCTGAAAGTGCTCCTCTTAACCTTCTACCAAATCACCTCCGGGGCTGTGTTCTCTGAAGACGGTCCAGAGCCGGGGAAGGTGCTACGGCGGAAGGTGCTACAGCGGGTCCAAGCGGCCAAGAAAGGGGCTCTTCCCCTTGGGTCTTACAGCTTGGCAGTGCCAATGGTACTCAAAGTATGGGTGGCAGGTAAGCTGTGTACAAGCCTCTGTCTAGACCTAATAGGAAAATCAAAGAATGGACCCGGAGGGATTCAGAGCAAAGTCATCGCTTATTCCAATACAATCATTCTTTCTTTAAGAAGTAGCTGCTGGCTTGCTACTGGGCTGCGCCAGAGACAGCATGCCCAGTCCTGGGCCGTGAAGTGACCATGCAACCTGGGCGGTCCGCAGGAACACCAAGCCCTACAGATGGGCATTGAGCTGCACTCCATCTCCGAGGGGAGGGGTATGTCCAGACGTGAAGCTTGAGCAGGTTGTAAAGGCGTAAGTAAATTACATGGGGGCAGACTCCCATGGCCTAGCCCTGCTTCTGCACCAGCTCTCCTGCAACTCGACCTGCAGTCCCTGGGGGAGTGTTAGATAACCTCGTGGACTGAAGGAGAAAAAGTCAGGCCTGATTTACAGATAGTCATACTGGATATTCTGGCACCTTCTAGAAAACTGCTGACTCTTAAAACTCCTCTTGGCAGTGGTGCTAAGGATATTATAGGAGGGAAACCCTCACAGTTGGCAGAACTTCAAACAATTTATCTGGTGGTTCATTTTGACCAGAATAAGAGATGGGGATCAGCTAATAGTGAGAGACTTAGAAAAACATACTGGGAGACTGGGGACAAGGGGAAGCAATTCTACGAATGGCTCACTCAAAACCGACACAGCATCTCGCCCCTTGCGAACGTTCTCTGCACATCGTCAGGCAGCAGCCCCAAACCTGCACTTCCCAGGCTCCCTTACTAGCTTGGTTCTGACTGAGATTCCCCCAGTGAAAGGCACCGATGCGAGATGTGGAAGGTAGAAGACAAGGGGAAGCCGTTATTCTTCTCCAGTGGCAGCAGGCAGGCAGACACACGGGTAAACCGCCAAAGTTAGGTTTGCAGCCACTCTAGGCCCACTCCTGAAAAGCATTTCCTTCCACGCTGTGGGCAGCCGAGATCACCAACGGCTCCTTTCTGTGATTCTCCACTTCCTGTTTTCCCCAAAGCCACTGAGTTTCCTGCACTTTGCTTCCCCAGATCGTCCAATGATTTTGCAAGCTGTGATTTTCTGTATTAAATCCCTTCCTGCTAAAATACTTAGAGTGTTTTCTGTTTTCTTGAGTGACCCTTCATACATACAGTCATTAAAATATCACAAGAAAATATGCAAAATATTAACCAACTATCTCTGGAGTATGTGTGATTTTTACTTTATTTTTCATTCTTCTCTACATTGTAAAGCATTCCTGAAATAAATATGAATAATTTTTATAGTGAGAAAAAATACTTACACGAGGAAAATATTTTGATCAATAGCCATATATGAAAAATATATTACAATTTTATGGACTAGGCACTATCCTACCATCTTTGCCTGGGCCCCTCCTAAAGCAGAAATGAGGCCGGAGGTCAAGGAAGCCAGACCTGGAAATACGTGGGCTTATGTTACTGTCACGAAAGTCAGGTCAGATTCAAGGCAACGTACAGTAAAAGTGAAGAGGCTGTGGTTGCAACCCCAACCCACAATTCATTCATTCACTCAGCAATGTTTGTAGAATGTCTGCTGTACAAAGTACAGTAGAGTGGGAACTTTCTCTCTTCGGTACATACGCTCTACCACCTAGAAATTAAAAGTAAAAATGTATGCCACCTCTACTAAAATGTTATTTAGCTTATATGTATATTTCGCTATTATTGATGAAAATTACAGTTGACATCTCGTTCATTATCCCGATTCTGACAAATGCGCTCAGAAGGTTGGGAACTTGAGGAACAAGTCATTATAAATGCCCACAAAGGAGCACAAGCCCACGGCCAGTTGCGGTCTCAGCAAATCAGCGGTCTACAGTTGTCCTAAAGGTCCTGGGGCTGTATTCTCCAGGGTGTGATATCTGCCCTGAGGCCTGAACAAGGCTTGTAACTATTCCCTAAATGATTTAGATACTGAAAAGAGTCTCACTCTCTAAATCACTTAGACTATTGCAATCAACAATTAAAAACAGCATAGCAATTAACAAAAGTTAAATCATACCCCTCCAGAAGCTAGAGAAAATAAAATATTATAGGTCTAGAGTTTATAAGCCATGAGCAAAGACAGGCGCATGCCCATGCGTGGTAGGCTTTCTAATAAGCTATAATATTTAACCAATTTACTAATCACTTTGTATTAAAATGTTGCAAATAGAAACTACTACCTGCTCCTTCAGTTAAACGTGGTGGACAACACATATGCCCTTACATTGGTTCCCTTCTGAAAATCTACCAAGATGACACTAGATGCATATAATAACAATAATAATAAAATAATATAAAGCCAAAGGACAATAAAGAATGGGAGAGAGTGGGAAGAAGACAGGTGTTCAGTAGATAGAACAAAGCACGTGTCTCGTCACAGCTGGTGTCAGAGGCAGCTGGGGCTCTACATCTGAAAACCAACAGTAGTAAAAAGAAATCTCAGTCCTGGCTGGTGTGGCTTAGTTGATTGAGTGCCGGCCTGCAAACCAAAGGTCTCGGGTTCAATTCCCAGTCAGGGCACATGCCTGGGTTGCGGGCCAGATCCCCAGTGGGTGTCATGCAAGAGGCAACCACACATTGATGTTTCTCTCTCTCTCTTTCTCCCTCATTTCCCATCTCTAAAAAATAAAATCTTATTTAAAAAAAAAGAAATTTCAGTTCCCACAGGCGACAATATCAACGACTGGCCCCACTTACGACCAGGGTAACTGAAACCAGAGACTTGAGTGGGGCTCCACCAGCCATGGAAATCATTAAGAAAAACTGGGATCAAATGTGCTTAGAATAAATATATTTAAGACACTAAAAAAATCAAAGCTAGATTAACATCCATCAACAGAATGCTAAATTAGCGGTCAAAATCAGGCAGAGATGAAAGAAGAGCCAGTGTATAAGAGAAAAAAATTAGAAGTCCTGGGAATAAACTACACAGTTGTCTTAACACACCTAACAGACTCTAGACTGGACACGATAGAAGATGAAATCAGTGGATTGGAAGACCGTAACAAGGAGCTCACTCCGCATGCAGCAAAGACAGAGAAACATGAAAGATAGTTACAGAACAAGGAGGAAATATACAGACATGTTACTACCATAAGTCAAGAAGGAAGTGAACAGTTCCAGAAGGAGGAAATGGAGAGGATGACAGAGAAGCAATGTGTGGGGTGTGAGTGCTGGCAATTTCATAAAACTGAAAAAAAGACATGAGTTTTTAAACTATTCAGTGAGTTCATCATGGGATCAATAAACAGAATAAATAGAGTAAATAGAAAAAATAAACAGAGCATGCTGAGATTCAGATGACCCACAATAAAGACAAAAACTACTAAAGATTGGTAACCCACCAAAGACTGACTGTAAGACAACACACAACAGATGTCAGAAAACAATAGACGTTACAAGATGATGAAGAAATATTGAGCAAAAACAATGTATCATCCAAGAATAAGTGAAAACAAAGATAAAGACAGTTTCAGACACAGGAAGATTAAGAAATGCATCACCCACAGCCCACATAAAAGGAGTCACTAAAAATATATCCTTCGGTCAGAAGACGACAACACCCAGAGATGAGGAGCGTGACATGAGAAGCAACAGCAAGCAAACTGGGGAGACCGTTGGGAAACGCAATTCATTACAGACTCTGAAGAAACTAAGCTACCAGTTCAATGATTCCAAAGTTGGTCCTTATTTGGTGCCAACTCATGTTTTCTCTAAGTGAAACAATTTGTCTAGCTCACTTATTTTGTTGAAATGCTACAATCTTTTAAAAAAGTAATAAAAAAAATTAGTAGGACAGAATTTTTAAAATATTGACTTAAATATTTTAAATATTTTCAATCTGACCAACATCACAAATGCATTTTTAAATTTTCAATATTCATAATAAAATATATACATAAATTAAAAGAACAGTGATGCCACTATGCTTTTGTATCAGAAATACTTTTTTAATGTGAATGTGCAATGTTGGAGTTTGTAGAATACAAGTGGGATAACATGTTTATAAGCTTTCCAGAGGGCAATGTGGCAGGTTTTACTCTAAATCTTGAAAGGTGAATATATTTTTAGGCATTAACTCCAAAGACACAAAACTGTGAACAAAAAAAAAATCAAACTGAATGATCCAAATAATAAGTAAAATTAAATATTTTGCAGTAAGCTGTTTAATGTCTGTCTTCCTGGTGAGACAGAACATCACCCCCGTGTAAGCAAGGATGCTCTCGGCCTGTTCCATCACTAGACCCTAGTTCCTGGCACAGTAGTAGAGGCTCAACAAATATCTGTGAATGAGTAAATATAAGGAATATTTACTAGGTACCATACACTATACAAGATACTTCATATGTATTGTTTCATTTAGTCCCTACAAATCACCCCAATTCACAAATAATGGTAAAAAATC